CGAGTGTCCAAATGATCTATCTACTTTGAGTTACATAAAGTTGAACATTATGTAACTGGTTATGTCATAAATATGTTTATGATTGCGAAAAGAAAATAAATAAAAGAAACCTTTTTTTTAAATAATTTATATTATTTCAAGAGCCTAAAAATAGCCTAAAAATGTGGTGTAGTTGATTTTAGAAAAAAGCTTTAAAACACCGAGGTGCTCTGCTGGATTCGTTCGAAGCTAGCAAAGCTATCTGTATTCTTTAAAAAAAAATTCATTTTTTTTTAAAAGTTATATATTGTTTTAAGGGCCTAAAAATAGCTTAAAAACGTAGCATAACTAGTTTTCTGAAAAAAATAATAATAAACCGAGGTGCTCTGCTGACTTTGCTCTAACAAAGTACCCTCTATTATTTAAAAATAGCAATTTTTTAGTAAAGTTTTATAATATTTCAAGAGCTTAAAAATAGCCTAAAAATGTGGTGTAGTTGTTTTTAGAAAATAGCTTTAAAAAACCGAGGTGCTCTGCTGGATTCGTTCGAAGGTGTATTTTTTAAAAAATACATTTTTTTTGAAAAGTTATACTGGGTGGCTCACGCTCAACGGGACGGAGCTTTATGGAAAAACAACCAAAGATATAAAAAATTCGTTTGGGAGGAATACGTATGTTACAGACGGCTACAATTTAAAATTTGTTAGATGTATACAGGATGTCCCACATAAGAAAAAAAATTAGTTAATTAAAAATTATTCAAACAAGAGTAAACAATTAATTTCTGGGAGACTTTTTGTCCTTAAAAATTCAAATAAATCGAAAACTAATAATAATAGTAATAGGGAACCTTTAGTTAACTGACATTATTTTTGATGTAGTTTTTAATTCTAAAATAAAAAACAGGGTGTTCCATTAAAAATAATATAACTTTGTATATTTTCTCGTGAGCCACCCTGTATATGATTTTAGGAGCCTAAAAATAGCTTAAAAACGTAGCATAACTAGTTTTCTAAAAAAAAATAATAATAAACCGAGATGCTCTGCTGACTTTGCTCTAACAAAGCACCCTCTATTATTTAAAAATAGCAATTTTTTAGTAAAGTTTTATAATATTTTAAGAGCCTTAAAATAGCCTAAAAATGTGGTGTAGTTGTTTTTAGAAAAAAGCTTTAAAAAACCGAGGTGCTCTGCTGGATTCGTTCGAAGATAGCAAAGCACCCTATATTTTTTAAAAATAACATTTTTCGAAAAGTTTTATAATATGTTAAGAGCCTAAAAATAGCCGAAAAATATGGTGTCGTTGGTTTTGGAAAAAAGCTTTAAAAAACTGAGGTGCTCTGCTGACTTCTTTCGAAGCTAGCAGAGCACTTTGATTTTTGCAAAAAAACGAGGAGCATAAAATGCTTGAATAGGGTATGAAAATAGCCTTAAAATAGCCTAAAAATATGGTTCCGTTGGTTTTGGAAAAAAGCTTTAAAAAACTGAGGTGCTCTGCTGACTTCGTTCGATGCTAACAGAGCACCTTGATTTTTGCAAAAAAACTAGGAGCATAAAATTTTTGAATAGGGTATAAAAATAGCCTTAAAATAGCCTAAAAATGTGGCATATGTTTCAACTCAAAATTCTCGAGGTGCTTTGCTGCCTTCTTTAGCATCATGTATGAGATGGTCATACACTGGGATGTCAGAAGAAACTGAGAGATTGATTTCAAAGTCTCTTAAGAGTTTAAAAAACAGAAAAATCGGAAGGCCTTATAACTTTGATACCATCCAAGTGTTCCTTGTTACATTGAAAAATGCGGTATTTTGAAATCTGGAACCTCTGCCAGTCCTTATTTAAAATCACTTTTTTAAAGTGTCCTTCATAGTGACCACTGAAGTTCAGCATCATATTTTGTTTTACCAGAATAGGGATGAACCTTTTGGATGATTGCTTGATAAAATCTGCATATTGTTTAGGGCTAAAAACGTAGTCCTTCTTCCTCAAAAACTTCTTAATAACTCGGAAGCACCGATCACATGGGAAAAAGCTATATACGTATATTTCAACTCAAAATTACACAAAATTGGAGCTGAATCCTTTTTGCAGCAAACTCCTCAATTCTGGTTAAGCCAGATGTGGGCAAAAAACGACGGGTATACAAAAAAAACTTATAAACATTAAAGGAGGATTTTTCAAACTTGCATTTCGTTATTTAAACTAGTTCAAAAGTTACATGGTTTAAAGCGTTTAAATCGTAATTATAATGGTAAAATTGAGAGAAGGTTAAATTGAACAGTGTAAGTCAAGTGTGATTTTGAAAATTTTCAGATTTGTAATTTGTTAATAAAAGTTCTTAAATAATATTTGAATTGAAACTTTAAATAAGTATTTTATTGTATAAAAACAATAAGTTAGTAAGTTTTTATAAAGTATGGCATATTAAGTTGATTTTTCAAGTTTAGAATGAAGCAGATTTAAGTTTCCGAAAGCTATCAATACATATTTAACAAACTTGCAAGGGAACAACAAAGAACACGATTTAGTACAATACCCTGAAGATATTTGAACATGAAATGCCTTCCCAAATTAAACATTCCATTGAACCCTGTGACACAGTTTACAGCTAAAGAATCAGATCGCTCACTCTGCGTCGGCACTTTTGATCTCAATGTTTCAGTTAATACACTGTGCAACTCGGATAATACAATATATGACAACCGCCTATAATAAAACAGCAGTCTTCTGCGTATCCTGAATTTGTATCCCTGGAGTCGATGTTATTTTGGAACTTTCAACTGGTCCGAGTGAGCTAACTGATTCTTTAGCAATAAACTGTGACTCCAAAAAAAATATTCACTGACACTGACAGCAACAAGCAAAATATCAGGTGCGTTTTAATCATCCGCTTCTGCTTCCGGTATTGTCGGTTTAGTCGTTTTAACCTGTCAGATTAAAACAAGAAAACCGACAATTCCGAAGCAGAAGCGGATGATTAAAACGCACCTATTAAAAATATTGCGCCAAGATGTAGGCAACACGTAATAAGGGTTCAAAATGGCGGAGTTTTCTATCTCCTTTTAAAAGGCACTCAGAAAGCTGCGCAGTGCGACCATTCTCCGTATAGTACATAGTATAGTAAAAGAAAATCAAAGTATATGGTAACCACTAATTAATGTTCTTTTTTATTGACAGACTATGGCCTACTACTTCCCAACGCTTAATATTCTTCTTTTTTCCAGTTTAATATATTTTCGATGTAAAACGGTGTACTGATTGGTCGCGAATAGCGCCAAATTTAAACTTTCATTAATTTTAATGAATGCTATTTAACGAATCGTAGACTTTTTGAGCGAAGAAAACCTTTTATATATCCGATTTTACATAAATATTTAGCAACTTAAAATTATACAACATTTCTGTCTTTTTTCAAAAGTACGTACAACAGTACAACCTCATAACTGATTGTACAACTTTTTGTACAATTGTACAACCAGGAACAACACTGAACATGGATCTTTAAAGGATTTAGTTACCGAGATACACGGTGTTAAATGTTTGAAATTAAAACTCAAAATTTGCCATAAACTATCTTTTGACCAGTAGGGCGCTATAAAGGTCAGTGGCAATTTTTCCCCTATTTAGGGTTTGAGATAAGAATATATTTTTAGCAAGAAGAGCAAGATCTATTACAATAATTCAACACTATATTAACTTAAAATATTTATTTTAGGAATAAATTACAAAATCTTTCAAATTTGAAAAGAAAAATCTTCAAAATCATTATCTCAAATTGGTTGATTTGGAGATGTTACTTTTGAATTGAGACAGCGATGTGTATGTAAACTCCAGGACAAAATTAACTTGAGTTTATGTCTTTATAGAACATACATCCATATTCACAAAGCAATTTTAAATGGCTACCTATACGTGTAAATCCTTACGTCAAAGAAAAAGTAGAGTTGGACCATGACGTGATTTTTGAATCACAGTTTGAATAATTAATGTTTAACTTAATATCAACGTCATTAAGTTTTCGAGAAGCTGTTTAGCTATATGGTATCTATTCGTGAACTGAAGGAGTAGGAAGTTGGAGGAAAGATTGAGACAGAAATACAAATTCTATGCATTTGAGACAAAGAGGATATAGCTATTTTCTATTCTTTCAAATTCAGTAATAGTTACCATGAGGACGAGAATTATCCTACATGATTAAACAATTAAGTGTCTTCAAGCACAGTATCTATCTGCAAAAAACGATCAACTACGCTTTGTAAGCATCAATTGTGCGAGTATTGAGGCAGATTCCATCAACAACGAAATCCTTTGAAATATTAGACGACTAATAAATATATCTCTTTCTACTCACTAGATATACCCACCATTCCATTAGAGATTAAAACCTTCCTATCATAAATTGATGATTTCCACCCAATGTAACTCTGGCTCTCTGATGATTTTTGTTTTTTTTTGTCTAATTGGCTTGTTTTAAACGTCTTTGACTTGTTTAGATCACTCGGTAAAAGATCCTTTCGATATACTTCATTTGAAAATTAAAAGAGAGTAAATTCGCAGAAATGTTTTGCGATAATAAAAACTAAAACGCGCTTTTTATTGAAAGCGCATATCAATAGTTTTAAGGCTGCGAATTTTCTCTATCTTAATATTTAAATGAGATCTTATTTCGTTAAGGACCAATCTCTGAGTAAAGTTACTTGACAGATTAACAAACAATAACCCTATAGTTTAATCAACAAGTAGTTACTCTCAACTTTACTCAGAGGTGAAAAGACTGGCCCTAATCTCTTAAAGTACAACTTATGCTAAATGGTTTCTGTTCTAAAATACAACGATTTGCCAATGCAATAGATTGATGTCAAATCTTCTTCGATAATATAGGTATTCTATGATTTTAAATCAAAATATTTCCTTTGCACTATTAATGAAATGTAAGAGGTCAAAATTACACTATTACACTAATTTTGTTCAGGAATATATCAATATTTTCCTGATAGTTAAATAAAACAAGATATACGTATCCAGATTTAGAATTATATTTTTATACTCAACGTGTTCACAAAAGCTCTTAGACAATAATTTACAGATATAGTTACAATTTACAGAAAATACAGACTCTTGGCAAAGAGAAACATTTGTGTGTTAATAAATAGAACCAGAATTTAAACAAGTTACACAATTAATTATTTTTTTAGACAATATAATATAGAACAAATTAAAAAAATGTTTTGATATGTAGACAACATTCATAAAACACGTTTCTCATTCACCATTAACTTACACATAATTATATATATAATATATACAAATAACATAAGCACGTTATAATAATAAAAATAATGACAGAGTTATACTACACTGTGTACCTACTTTATTTGCCAAAAATACTTTTTTATTATGGATAAGAAATTATTTTGCTTATAACTAGATTCTAAATTGTCTCTTCTTAATCTATTTCTTTCTTATTCTATTCCAATTCTTTTACCATTAAGCTTAAATATAAGTAAAAATAACCGAAATGATTTTTATTTATATTTAATAAAATATTCTTCGCCACTAGTTAACATTCAAAATTTAGACTTTTGAATTTAGACATTTTTAACATCACATATTCAGTTATGCTTCAGACTACTGTGCCATGATAAACTGGAAAATCCAACAAATTATACAACTGTTGGCTAAGTGAAATAAAAACAAGATCAAATACAAAATTGTAATATAACTCTGCTACTATACCAAAAATGTTCATCCATTCACATATTTTTATATACAAAACTTTTAACAACAAGTATCACTTTTTGGGGGGCCGCACGCTAGCGGGGATAGCTGGGATACAGCAGCGTAGGGCCCCACCGACCTCAAACTAGCCCTGGAGGTTTGACGTCTAACCCCGTTACCATATCCAGTCCCATATTAGACGGAGGGGGTGTTTGATTTATCGAAGCTGGTGAATTGACATTATTCGTTAAGTCACTTTGACTATTCTCTTCTGAGTCACTACAACTATCTGAACTGCCCTTTTTACCATTACCGTTGTGAGTTTTAACGTGTTTAGCTAGGTGGTCTGACCTCATGAATCGTTTGTTGCAAACTGGACAAGCGAACCTCTTTTCTCCAGTATGAGTGCGTAAGTGCCTTTGAAGCTCGTCGGACCTAGTGAATCTTTTACCACAGAATAACCAATTACAAACGAATGGTCTCTCGCCAGTATGCCACCTTAGATGAGCCTTTAAATGTGAAGTTTTCCCATAGACTTTTCCACAACCTGGTATGTGACAACTGTGTATGTTCTTTTTTCTTAGATGAACCCCAGCAGGACCAAGCCTCTCAGCTTCTTGGCAGTTGGGACAGTCGCAAGTTGCTCTACCAGTATACCTTCTTTGTGATCGAGGTGAAGGTACTTGAGGGGGTAGACCACCCGAACCACCTGTTGGAGAAGGCGTAGATCCACCTGCGTGCAATCCAAAAGAAGCTCCTACACTCTGAGCACCTGGCAACATGGATTTATAAGTATCTTGTAGTAAATGTTGACCAGAAGAAAGCAGGTGATTGGAGGCAGCTAAGGAATGAGTTAAACTAGAATAATCTGTTGAGTAGTTTGCAGCAGCCATTTGAGCGTGCATACCTGCTGCTCCGCTCATATCTAACCAACTTCCTGCTGTGGAATGAACATCCCACCAAGCATTTGCTGATGCTACTGAATCGCTTTTGATTCCTGTGTGATGTGTCGCGCTGGACATTGTATTAAAGGGCCAGGTTTCGTACGGATGTCTTGAGTATACGGAACCTAGGGCTGCGTGGTGAGCAGTAGCAGCTCCTTCTACTTTTCCTAATATTGAGCTCTGATGGTGATGGACATGTGAGTTATCAGCTACTGCAGGTTGACTGGTTGCTCCTGGAAAGTACAAGTCGCTTCCATAGGAAGCAGTAGTTGGAACACTTGCACAGGACGTCATTACGGATCTAGAGTACGTTGGGTTGGATGCGGATGACCTTTGAATAGGTAATGAACTACTAGATGATACGCAGGTACCACCAGGTGAAGGCGCGCCTTGCGGGCTCTTTTTCCACGGGTGAAAGCCTTTACCGACTGCTGCGTCGGCTAGGGGAGGCGGGGATTTGCTTGAGAGTTTATTGCACTGGGCCGCCAGCATTGCAAGGGGCGTCCCTCTGAGGCTGGGATGATCCTGAAACAAGAAGAAAAATATTTTAGAGAAAAGTTTACTAGATTTTAATTTATGAAAATAAAAGAATTCATTGCTAATGGTCGGTTTGAAAAAGAACAACGTTTATATATAGGATGTTTTTGAAATATACTGCTGTCCTAGCTAGCAAGCTCTACCTGAAAATTTGTTGTTTCGAAATAATCGTGTTTTTAACTATTTTTCGCAGACATGCATTCTTCTAAACTTTTTTTGGTGGAACTTTTTAACGTTTTAATACCTTTACAATGCAAGTAGGACATTCCGTTTTGGTATCAAGAAAACTAAAATGTAGAAAAATGCAAAAAAATATAAAAAAACTGCTAATTTTGTAGATAGAACCTTTCTTGCCAGGACGGTAGTATATTTTAAAAGTGGTTAATATTTCTTCGAATGCACCTTCCGGGTTTAAAATGGATTTACGCTACTAATATGTTAAATTAGGTTAGTTATAATATATCGCTAACTTAGTTTAGAGTTCAATGCAAACAAGTTAGTAGTGGGCTTGTTATTGACACTGTTGCCAAAGCGTGAACATTATTTTGATGAAAATAATAGGCGGATTGTCGAACATTTATTATAGTGTCATCATTTTGATGTTTATATCAGTTAGAATGGGGTAGTTGATTAGCGAAGGTCAAGTATGTTTTAATTTTTTTATGTTTGTTATCAAGATTGATACGATTTGAGGTAAGTTTAATTTAATTTCTTAAGTATCACGTCTAGAAAAGCGCTACTATGTTTATGCGAAATATTATCGAATAAATTCCTATAATGATGATGATGATAATGAAAACGAAGATTGTTATATTCAATTCTACTTCCAAGTTAAAAAAAAAATACTTTTATTCAATAAATCATTTCTAAACCATTTTATGCAACGTATTTATATTCACTAGCATGCCGTTCATTATTCTCCAATCTCCATCTTAAAGCAGGATGAAAAAACTTCGAACCGAAACTATAATTACGATCAACACACTAGCAATTATTTAATTACCCCTTCAGTTAATCAGATTTGTTTATATCGAGCAATATTTAAAATTGAATAGAAAGATAGCAAAATGTCTAATTAGTTTTCACCGTAATTGCGCGGAATTTAAAGCTATTAAATGAACATTTCCTTTCGATCTAAGGCTAATTATCTGGTGCAGATCTTTTGCTATTGAAGTGTAAAAGTTGATATGCATTCAATTAGCATTTTATGTGCGACGTATCAAAATAAAACGAATCAGAAATAGAGATAAAGTTATATTTACAAAAAAATGTATAATAATGTAACGTTTATTTATTTAAATAGTTAGGCTTAGTAATAAAATACCAGGGTAACAAAACTACATACTTTAAATATTATTTTCGCTAATACAGGTATATGCATTACATAATTTCCCTTTCCTGTAAAAATGTACATAATGGAATTAGGACAATATTATTCTAATGATACAGGCGATTTATATTCATTAAAACACTTGTATACTAATTTTTAATAACAATATTTATCTTAACAAATCGATCGCTTAACTTAAACTAAACTCCAACACCAAAACAGTCTATTTATATTAAAATTTGCCAACCCGTATGTTTACCATAACATACGTTACGTCGGCGAACCCATCATTTTATAGACTATGGTGCTTCGACTAATGAGCATTGTATTGGGCATATTTTTAGGTGTTTTGAAGGTGGATTAACTCTATTGAATATCCTTGAAAATCGGAAAAGTGGAGGCTGTAAGAGGCCCAAATAAGGCAGAGAGGGACTTAATGGATTAAAGCATAAATGGCTTTCACCATATTAATAAGAAATATTCTTCATATACATAAATACATACATATAAATATACATAGAACAATTATTGTTGAACCACACATACTGACTTGAATGAGAGACTTATCTGTATTGTTAGGGTTCATTTGCCACTATACGTGCATTACGAGAGATATGTTTATTTGTTTAAAAGAAGATAGATACGGTTTGGAGGTCTGCCGCTACCTGATGACGGTCCAATTATCCTGAATCTGTGGGAGATTGAATATTTTTTTTAATTTAATTTAATTTAACCACCCCAAAACTGACCCCTAAGATAACAGAATGTACTTTTTTACTGAACGCCTGTATTTGGGTTTTTAATTAGTACAACTTTTTCAAATTCCTCTATATACATCAAATATTGTCTGCAATTTTCGTATTATTTAATATTTATAAAGAGTGGAAAACATGATTGGAACAGATATAAACAATAGACCAAGAGAAAAACCGAATTATAACACCTCGAAGAAAATATTATAAAGAAATAGATCGAAGAAGAAAAATCTACAAGCATTAAATTTAAGAAATTGGTACAAAAAAATAAGAAGAAATGGAAGACAATAATTGTTAATCAAGCTTGAGGCCCATAAGTCCTGTAAACATGCTCTACAACTGTACACATAAAATACCAACAAAGGAAAGTTATTATTTTTTTTGCTTAGTATTGTATGACTACGAACATTCAGTTCATTCGCCTATTTTGCAGATTTTGACGATTTTGCCGATTTTGTCGATTTTGCAAATTTTACCGATTTTGCAGATTTTGCAGATTTTGCAGATTTTGCAGATTTTGCAGATTTTGCAGATTTTGCCGATTTTGTCAATTTTGTCGATTTTGTCGATTTTGTCCTGCACAGCGATAGAATCGCCTCGACTCGCGCGAGCTACGCGTAGAATCGACAAAATTGCAAATCGCATCTGTTTTTAAGGACTATTGCGCTACGCGCTCAGAGTAGGACCTGCTCTTTGATTTTTTTTATAATGGCTCTATTTTGTTTATTATAATTTTTTTAGAAAAATGAAATCTGCCAATCGCCCTCAAATTAAGCAAACTACCACCCCTACAAATTTGGACGCCAAGTTCGGAACACCCTGTATACCTAGACGAGATTGCAGATAGTCTTGCGAGAAAAGGGAGTATCTAACTTTCTTTGTGGAATCTCAGCCGCTTTGCAGTATCAGCAATATAAGAAGAGATTAAAAAAATTGGGTAGTAGAAGAAACGATCTCTAGGGGCCAAAATAGGCTAAGATACTGTCTGAGCAAGAACCCATTCTAACAGGACAATGTCGACTCATAGAGCACCTTAGATTATATCAGATTCAAAAGGAGTTGGACATTATTTGTCCTAGCCAGTCGCGATCTTTTGAGATCTATTGTGAAGCTCCTTTAGCTTAGTCTTTGTAATTAGTCTCAGTAGCTTTGACAGTGGTTCCTACATATAGTTAGATGCTTGTCGCTTTTCTTCTTTTCAATCTATCGAAGCATTCACACTGGCACAGGATGTCTATTGATGTTTTCTCTTCTTCTTTACAGAACGTACATACTATTGATTCATTAGCTGGATTGATGATATCATGTGCCTTCTTAGGCGACAGTGTCTGATAGGATTTGTAGTTTTTGATCCAGTAGGTCTTTCGTGTACTTGTCCGCCGGTTCTTAATGAACTGTTTGAGAAACCTAGATAGTTGTTCCACTATTCATGAGGCCCTTCTTGCATCCACTGTTTGATGGATGTCTTGCACAATGCCTTAGCAACTCCGCAGAAGAGTTAGGAACCAGTTATGACTTTATCTAAGTCTTCTCGGGCTAGTTCGTCAGCCTTTTTATTGCTCTCGTATCCTTCTTGGTCTGGTACCCAAGCTCTGTTAGTTTTTCTAGGCAGTCTTTCACAAGTCTTGATTTGATTTCTGGTAAAATAATTGCCTTTAATGCTGCGTGGCAATATTTTTGCCTGACATTTGCTGATTTATTATTTCTCTTCCAAAGTGTTGTATGGCTATTACTTCGGCCTGGAGCACTATTCATCGTTATTTTCGGCTTAGATCCAAAGATTCCAGAACCAAATTCTTCCTTGGTTTTAGAACCGTCTGATTTTGGCTATATCAGTAGGCATTCCTAGAATCTTATTCTTTGTTACTTACTGGTATAACCTCATATAAATATACCTAACTACATTTACAAGGTACAAAGGTGATAGAGTGGGTGCTATGAACTAACATGGGGTAAAACACAATAAGCCAATAGGCTTCAGTGTTATTCGGAGACACATAGTCAGACGAGCCCAGGAGAGAAACAAAAACTACATTTCCTTGACAAGATAAGACTGAACGGGTCGTTATAGGCATCGAAACTATTCCTTTGCTGCTTTGTTAAGGAGGCACAATAATACAGAAAAATGTAAAATTGTTCAGGATATATTTGTAAGGTTTTCAACAATTATTACCGGTTTTAAACAGTTCTTTCATTAGGATAAAAAAACCTATATATACTCAACCTGATTAATTACATAACAATCTATTTTGCTTATGGCTCTTACCATTTAAACAAAAATTATATAAAACTGTTTGTTTTGGATTTAAAATTTTGCCTAATTGATCGCAAAACGAAATCCCCAAAACGAATTCGTCACCCGCCGCTGAAAAACCATTAAATAGGATGCTGCGTGACCATGGCACTAAATCAAGTCCATCAGACTTCTATTTCCTCTTCGGTCCTCTTCACTCCACCGCACTCTGCTCTCAACCCTTTTTCCAAAATCAGCATTTGCATGAAAATGAACCGCCTCCGGTCCGTATTAGAACCTCGTTTATCTACCTGCCGTAAAACACTTTTGAAATTCATAATTATTACCGAGAAATTTGTGAATTCGATTTAATAGCTTCGCTTCCGGGCATACGACTCGACTTGGAACTCTTGCGTCATTCCATATGTAAATTTTAAATAAATCTTTTTACGAGGCAATGACATTTTACTATTTATTATAACATCATCATTAATATTTTTGTTATTACTACCATGATGTAAGTATTACTACCATTGTTGTTATGTTTTTTATTTAGTGTCATTGGCATCGACAGTTTTTGTTAACATCATGCTCTATATATAAGCGCTATTAAAGTTAAAATACTCAAAATTCTACATTTTCTTTAAGGCTATCGTCTATTATGGAAGGT